GTTGCTGGGATGAATCGGGCCATGTGGGACCTCGGCCAGTTAGTGGGCGGCTGGTTGAAGAGGGACGGTTGCCGTCTCTAGGACATGGCGCGTGTGCCTACAGAGAGGGCTCTGAGTGCCACCTCTGGCACGTGTGCCATAGGTTCGCCACCACTGACCTATGCCATCTCAGATAAGTGACTGTCTAGTCTTTTCTTTAAAAGCTTCAGTGACGGAGTGTCCACAATTTCTGAAGGCAAGTTGTTCCACTGGTTGATTGTCCTCACTGTCAGGAAGTTTCTCCTTAATTCCAGGCTGCTTCTCTCTTTGATTAGTTTCCAACTTTTGTTTCTTGTCAAGCCCTCTGGTGTTTTGGAAAATAATTTGACCCCCCTCTTCTTTGCGGTAGCCCCTCAAATACTGGAAAACTGCTATCATGTCACCCCTATTTCTTATTTTCTTTAGACTTGCCAAACACAAGTCCTGCAGCTGTTCTTCATATGTTTTAGTCTCCAGGCCTTTGATCATCTTAGTTGGTCTTCTCTGAACTTTTTCCAAAGTCTCAACATCTTTTTTGCAGTATGGTGACCAAAATTGGTTGCAGTATTCCAGATGTGGCCTTACTAAGGCTTTATAAAGAGGTACTACTACTTCGCGTGATCCTAATTCTATGCCTCTGTTTATACAACCAAGGATTGTATTAGCTTTTTTGTCTAATTGTGTCAAGACTGCTGTCCTATCTCTCATTTAACCCAGGGTGGAGAAACATAGTAACTTTTCCCCACAACTATTGACTGGAATTTTACACCTGAGAGAAGCAGAACTATTGTAAAATAGTGCCCCCAGTTTCTAACCCTTAGGGGAGGTGATCCAGAAGGATGCGTAATCAGTGGTACTGAAGGTTATTGATAGATCCACCAGGCAAAAGGATCGTGCTTGTATCCTGATTAAAAAGGATATAGATAATTGATAATGTAGATTACAAAAAAAGAATATAGAAAATTAACTGATTTGCCTATTCCATGTTTCAGCAGAAATAAAATCATTTCAGTTGTTTTGGTCGTGGGAAACAGTGGGATTCAGAGCTAGTTCTTAGGTAGAAAAACCAGAGGCAACAACAACAACAAAAAATGCAGGACTCTTTGCTACTTTATGATGGCTTCCCCAATTTTTGCACTCTAGTCTTTTTTGAACATTGAGCAGCAATTTGCTTGGAAGTGGAGATGCTTTAAATTAGGAAGAATGTAGGAAAAATACTGGCCCTGCATTTTCAATTCTTTTACCAATTACCTCCTCCACAGGGCAGGAGAACATTCTGACTGATTAAATTAATTCCAGGCAGGTCATTAAGGAGTTATTTAAAAAAAATAAACACTTTGTAAGTCTGTGCTGTCCATGAATAAAGCTCTCCTTGCAGACAGGAATATTGAGCTATCTGTATCCATCCCAGTGTTTAAAAATTCATCTTCAAAGTTAATATTTTTCCTGGCCAGATGCCAAAAACAAAACAAAAATAGGAAATGCAGCTTTTCTTTCCTTGTTGAATGATTAGGAAGGAACTAAATAAGCACCTGCAAACGGACTTTGTTTGGCTGCTAGCGTTTATATATTAGATATAAATTACATTTTCAGCCTCAGGAATATTCAGAAGAATAGAATAATTCTGAATCACGTGTACACACTTGCTCAGCAAAACAGCATTTCACTACAGGTAGCCCTTGACTTCCATCAGTTCATTTAGTCACCATTACAGATTCATTTAACAACCGCGTTTCTAATTTAAGAACTGCCGTGATTCATTTAGCAACTATGGCATGGAAAGTTGTAAAATGGGGCAAAAATTCGCTTAACAAATGTTTCACTTAGCAACAAGAATTTGGGGCTTGATTGGAGCCGTACATCAAGGACTACCTGTATACACTTGAAGTGCTAAAGGGAAAGCGAAGGGTCAAGCCAACAAACTCAAACATGCCTTTCCATAATAAAGAAAGAGCAGGGAAAGAGTGATTATTAATATAGAGAGAGTTGTTAATATAGAGAGTGTCATCAAGGCATTTCTTGCCCCCCCCCCTCAATATTAAGTGCAGCCCCTAACCATTAAAATTCCCCACCACTATTTTTATTTTGTTTAGCCCCAGGTCTTCAGAAATCAAGACCTGGGGCTAAAACAAATTATTTTGCCTATTTTTATGGAGCAATGAGAAGTCTTGGAATTTCTCCTCTGGGATTATATACATCTGTGGATAAATTTTTTTAAAAAATTATTTCTTCCAGGCTCGGTGTCAGAGTTCACTTTGGCAAAAGGCTGACTGCTTTATGCTTCCTAAAAATTATGAGTGAACTCCATCGATGGATATCTTTCATATCAGTTACCCTAATAAATAGCTGGAGATAATAGCAAGCAGGACGGATGGTTTAATGAGAAATCCTTCATATTTCCATCAATATCTCAAGTAACTAAATATGGCTCAAGATAAAATCAACCCATGCGGATCCAAATTCATCAGGCAATCTGGCTAAGTGGAAGATTTATGTTGGATTTATCTCTGATACCGAGATCCTTAAGCCTGTTTCAAACTGCTTTGGGATTCAATGCCTCTCCATAGCATAAACTCCCCTACGCTTTTGTTTGCACTGTCAAATGAGATAAAATGCTCCCTAGTATTTGCTAAACAATTAGGTTTCTCTGTGCAGGACTGTCCTCTCATATCATATCTCCTTGATAATTTTTATTGAAGAGTCAGTCTTCAAAAGGTATCTTGCATTGCTAGAATGGTTGCTTCTCTGCTGAATGCACATCAGTTAAGTGGAGAGGCGCTTAACTAAGAGATGGTCTACTAGTTTAGGTCTCTCAGTCTGTGTAATTTACCCAGACATGTGAGCACATGTAATTGGACAAAATAGCTGAATTTAACAGAATGAAATTACTGTGTTCAAATAGGTCCCATAGAGTTTAGAAGTAGCAATGTGTGGAGGTTTGGCTCCCTCTATTGGATACTGACCAAATTGCAGTGGAAAGACCTCACGTTCAGAGATTTTCTAAAAGGGTGAGATAGATGGCCAATAAATTTAATAATAATAAATAATAACACTGTGGCAGTGAGAATATGGGCTTTCCCCACCATAGCGCTATCACGGAATCAGTCCAATCACTGTTGGTATAAAACCTGTTACTCGCTTTCCAATTCCTATTCTGCTTCTATTGCATTTGTTCAAAGTCACCACTAATAATGATGTCCTGATTTGTGTTTGTGCCACATGTAAAAAGGTAAGGTGATTGTTCTTTTGGCTTTGCTGTCCTCATTCTTCAGCACATTACCTGTCAATATGGAAAACTTCCACAAATAACGGCAATGAAGCATGAATTTAGTACAGTGGTTCTCAACCTTTTTAATGCCGCGACCCCCCCCAACCGGTCGTAAGTCGAGGACTACTCAACCGGTCGTAAGTCGAGGACTACTCAACTGGTGCAGCACCGTTTGCAGAATGGGACTTTTGGCGGGCTCAGCAGGGCAGAGACAGCCTGGACAATTCCTATTGGCTTTTGAAAGCCAATAGAATTAGACTCTATTCAAGAGAGTCTATTCTATTGGCTTTCAAAAGCCAATAGAATAAAAGGGAGTAGCCCAGCTAAGGAAAAGGGGGAAAAAATGGCGGACTGCGTTGTTTGGCGACCCCCGTGAAATGGTTGTTTGACCCCAAATGGGGTCCCAACCCACAGGTTGAGAACCACTGATTTAGTAGATCTGATTTCCAGGCTTTAAGGTTTTCTAGACTAGCTTTTTTTGTCCCCTCCCATACCCATTTTCACTTTGCCACATTAAAATAAGGTAGAAGCAAGAAACGTGGGGAGATACCAAGACAGAGATAGAACCAGAATGGAGAAGACTGATTCTGCCATGATTGTGCACCATGTTAGATGCTATAGAATCAAACTAAAACTAATTAATTGCTGCACAACCATTCCTCTTACTTCTGGGAAAGGAATGGAAATGAATTGAACTGACAAATATAAGTGCAAAGTTTTCATAAACTCAGTCCTGACTCCTTGACACAACACATTTGTGTTGCTTTTCGGATGAGAATATGGAAATGGGCTTGCCGTTGTCTTTTTTTCTTTCAACTTACCATTCTGGCCTACAATTCTGGTATTTCTTGGTAGTCTCCTGTCCAAGAAGCACCAGCCAGACTCAACCGACTTAGCCTGTGAGATAATTCCGGGTCAGCCCAGTGCTGCCTTCTGCTCAGATGTCAGGCACAAGGAAACCAAAGAACAAAAAGTAGGTTGTTAAGATTGAGCTTGTTCGGATATAACAGTTTGGTAGTCAGTTGCAGTAAGGGACAGGGTGTCTAACTCATTTGGTTCCTCATTAACAAGGAGGAGGCAATGTGCTTTCCATACAATCATTCATTAATGAAAGCATGCAATACAGGTGTGCATATTTTGGGGATCCATGCTGATGGAAAGTGTTAAATTATTCTTTTCTACTGGTATATTGGCCCTGGAGATTTACAGAGGGAGGCCTTTTCACTCAAGGTGAAAGTATAACCAAGGGAGATCCAGATGAACATCTAGAAAAGATTAACCTTCAGAATCAATTAATTATTTGTGATATTATAGTCTATAAAGCTCAGGCTTCAGATAGTTTTAAATTCTCCTTCTTGCTGCTTTTTAAAACAGAGATAAATATTCTGGCCTATGATGTGACTTATATTCATATTTACAAGGTATAAGATAAGACAGCATTAAAAACCTAAAGGTGTTTTCTGTTCTAAGCTTTTATTGTTAGGAGCAATGGTGGATTTGGCAATGGATTAAAGCATATGGGTAAGTTTTGTTATTCACATGTCTGCTATATGTGCAAATTGGGATTATTTTATCTCATTCATTCTTACACACTGAAGTTATATTCCCATATATTGAGAATATAAAATACAGGTTGGAATGTGTATAATTAAGAATAAAATGTAGCTTTCCCTCAGAAAACTTCTTTAAATATTTTTTTTTCTTTTTTTCCTAGGCTTAATTACAATTAAAGAGTCTCATGATATAGAAGCCAGGCTGAATGAGGTAGAGAAACTCCTCAAGAATATTATAAATATGCCTTGGAAGGTAAGTAGGGGAAATGCCCAAACTTCAGTGAAACTTTAGTCAATGTTAATTTTTTCAATTGTTTGTTTTTTGTTACCTGGGAGACATGGACAAAGCAGTGAAGAAATTTTAAAATGTCTGCTAAGTTAGTCTTAAGAATTATCCAATCATGGTGGGAAGAGAGCCACAAATGGCTGCATTTTAGCCAGGGTTGCAGGCTAATGCTAAAACTGTAATGTAAACCTTAAAATGGGCCTTATGGGTTATTATAGGAAACATGCTGAGACCTTGTGGCAGAAGGATGGAGATCTCAAATCTTTTCTCTCAGAAGACTTTTACATCTTGATCTTCTTCTCTGTCTTCCTTCATATCTTCCTGAAGGACCCTCGGTTGGCATCTTCCCTTTGTGTGTCTTTCCAGGGATGAAAATATCACAAAGCAAACAAAGTGAAATGATTTCTCTAGCACAGCTTTCTAGCCTATAGCCTCAAACTGTGTGGCTAGAGGATTCAGTTCTACTTCCTCACCACATGAGAGATGAACGGCTCTTCATACAGCCTTACAAAGCAGACAGATGCCCCATTTCTAGATGTCATAGTCCAGGGATAGGCAACTGTGGCTCTTTTATGACTCGTGGACTTCAACTTCCAGAATTCCTGAGCCAGCATGGCTGGTTCAGGAATTCTGGGAGTTGAAGTCCACAAATCATAAAAGAGCCAAGGTTGCCTACCCCTGTCATAGGAGAACAGCTGCCTTCCAGTAACTCCCTTACTCTCTTTCTGCATCCTTTTACACTTTCAGAGAAGCCATTTCCATCAGAGTGAAGCGATTGAGGTAGAGCAAATGCTTTAGCTGCAGTATTAAGGCGCTTTATTTTTCATGAGCTATATCACTTCACTTCATCCCTTTGAATTGAAGGTACACAAGAGATCCTAGTTTGTGTTGTATAAAACATCTGTTTTGAAGTAAGGGCCAAGCTGCACATCCCGGTTCTACTTTTCACTTGCTTATCCATTGAATTCTATGGATAATTTTGGAAGAATTGCCCTCTAAACAAGGATAATTACAGAGAAAACCCCATTCATTCCATTTATTGGTGTGGGGGCCAGACCGAGAGAGATAAACTTCCCTTCCTGCGTATTTTGACATCCTACCTCCAAAACCTACCCTGCATGTATGAGAAATATTAGAAAGTGAAGCTGTGAGCAATTCATTCAATGTAATAGAGTTGGACATTGAGTGTCTTTGAGTTTAATGAAGTTTCTCCAAGGAAGCTTTGATTGAATCATAGCCTTGAGCATCCCATTTACATTTGTCCTATGAGAGATGTAGAGATGCTTATAGCAGAAGCATTTTTGTTTAGGGTAACATTTGAGGATTTTTTTTCATCCAGAATGAGGAAAAGAGTGCAATAGTTAATTACTGCTAAAATGATTAATATCTGTGATGGGCACAGATTTGTTGTCTAAATTAGAAAACAAGCGGTTCCATGGGATTTACTCTTAGGAAAAGATAAATAGGATCATCATCCATTCTAGAGGACAACAGTTGCCCAATTCTTCCTCAACTGGATATATTGGTATCCAGCCCTTCTCTCTCCCCCCCCCCTCCTTTTTTTCTCTTTTCTGCTTTATCCCTACAGGACTGACTTGCCCTTCTCCCACCTCATAGCTACACATGCAATTCTCATTCTCTCCCATCCCAGAAGGTCCACAGAGGACCAGTTCCAACAAACATGCCCCCCCCCGTTCCTCAGAGCAAAGAGGCAGGGCCAAGGAACATCATGAGATGTTTCCAGCTTTCCATATGAAGGCCAGCTAACACCCTAGTCTTGAGGAGAAGAGAAGCCACTCCCTGTTGTATCTCTAAGGCAGAGGTCTTCAAACTTTGCCCTTTTATGACTTGTGGACTTCAACTCCCAGAATTCCTCAGCCAGGCACGCTGGCTGAGGAATTCTGGGAGTTGAAGTCCACAAGTCATAAAAGGGCCAAGTTTGAAGACCCCTGCTCTAAGGGCTTTAGAATCGAGCACTTCCTAAGATGTTGTAGTTGATTTGGGGAAATGCAAATGTTACTCCTCTTCTTGGGAATCAGTGTGCCTTAAGGCCTCTCTTTCCCAACTTATTTCCCTTGCCTTGGCTATTGAATTGTATCAGCCTAACTTTTTTTTTTTACAACTGCCTTTTTGTGCTTTTTTTTTTTTTTTTTTTTTTTAGCACAAGTGGACTAGGCACTACTCCTGAGAATGAATATCCCATGCAGCTGTAAACTAGAAGGAATAAATTCCTGGAATACGAGATATTTTTTAGTACATGAACTACTAGAAAAAAGAAAGTGTATTATGAGCCAGTTAGAGAAATATTGCATGCGTTTTTCAGGGTTTATATTTCTTATGTTATTTTAAAGAATTGGGGTTGCTATGCGTGTAAGGCGTGATCTAATGCAGGTAATCCTGACATAACCATGCTAATTGGAACCAGAAACTGTTGTTAAGTGATGTGGTCATGAGTTGAAAAACCCTGCAAGAGCAGTTCTAGCAGTGCCAGTTGCAATCATTAAGCAAGGACTGCACAGTTCCTTAAGCAAAGACCTCATGTGACTATGACTTCTGGCTTCCTGCTGATTTCGCCATTGATTTTGCTTGTGGTAAACCGGTAAGGAAATTTACGAATCGCAGTCTTGTGACCTTAGGATGCTGCAAACATTGTAAATGCCTGCCAGTTGCCAAGCACCCGAGCTGGAACCACATGATTGTGAAGACGCTGTAGCAGGCTGTAGGTTTAGAGACTAATTATCACTCATTCAGTGCTGTTATAAATTCAAACAGTTGCTGAACTAGTGATCATTAAACAAGGATAACTTGTAAAGTATTTGCTGAGGTTGAAAGTCCTCCTGATAAAAAGACCAGACCATTAGGTTATATATAGCTGAGAGGCAGGCAGTCTTCCCTTAAGGAGAGGCCAAGTATCACACTTTTTAAGGAGATATCCAAAGGCCATATTGGGGTAATCAGGAAAAGATGTCTGCACTGTGGGTTGGTTAAGAATTTTAATATTCTTGGCTGTTTGTGGTTTATGAGTGTATGTATTCTATATGGATTATGAGTGTATGTATTCTATATGGGTAAAACCTAAATAAACACTTGAGTATCTTTTTTGTTTGTTTTCTGCCAAAAGTAAGAATAATCGAAAAGCCACATCAATAGCTTACTGTATACTGTATAGTTGTCCCATATGGTACAGTGTGCAGATCTATAGATGGTCCACTTTCTGTCAAACTCATTATCCACTTCAAACTTCCACAATCTGTAGATCTGTTGGAACTAGAACTGGCAGAGTTCCCAGCTAGTAGGGAATGGCATCAAGACTGAGAAAGTTGGTTGGCAACTTATAGGGTATCCAGCCAGAAATTTTTCTTGATCCTACCTGCCAAGTGCTAAGGATTGAACTAAGGGCTTCTAGTTTGGCCCATAAAGTATGCCTCAAGTGTTATTTCCTCCCATGATTATAATTGTCTTTGTTAATTTTATTTCAGTATTCCAGATCCGAAGTTGTCCTCACCTTTTTCGAAAGGTCTCCTTTAGATCAAGTATTAAAAAATGACAACGTCCATAAAATACAACCAAGCTTCCAGAGTCCAGTTAAAATATCTGGTAAGGTTTAGTGGTTTGCTTAAAGCTGCATTAGGTAATAATTAATCAGTTGTGATTCATCTCAATATATACTCAGTGTGAATTGGTGGGGGATAGGATACTTGATGGTATTTTTTTATAGTCAGTCTTACAAAATTATTCAATCTCATGAGGTTTTACAATCTTACAAAATTTAACTGCTTTTATGCTTACATTCCCCCCCCCCCAATCAATTTATCTTTCTTTTTGGCTTCCTATAGACATTATGGGATGTTAGTAACTGCTGTATTAAGTTTTTGTCTGCAAAAGCTTTTGATGGCGAGGTAGTGATCTGCATAAAAAAGAAGATTGAGAATCCGCAGAATAGACTTTGGATTATTCATTAGGCGAACCAACTGAAGTTAGACTTGTTCCCTCTCTGAACATTCTTTTACCACTACAGCCTTAATTATTGAGATCTGTTGTTAAGATATATAAAAAAAACTAAACTACACATATAAACATCTTGGAAGCTGAAATGATGTTACATTTCGTTAATGTCGATCTCCCAGTTTGAAGCTCCAGTGCTGCTTGCCATCAAACTATATAGCTTCTTCTCTCTCCTTCATCCTTCATTAAAGAGTGCCTGTATTATGATTATATTTTCAAGGGTTATGTTTTTTTAAAAAAAAATGGAAAGAAAGTCCACATTATTGTTGTCTTCCTTGGATGTTAAGCTGTAGTTCTATATCAATAGAACTTATTTTTGAGTCAGCATCAGGAAATTGGATTAAAATGATTAAAATGATTTCTTGATCATTTTAATCGCGATCCAAGAGATCCTGTAAATTCCCTACAATACGATACTTACACTTACCTTTAAGCACGTACCTTTTAAGAATTGGTTCATTGTTTGTACTGTTTCCCTTTCTCTCTTCTTTTTCTTCAGAAATCATGCGTTCTAATGGATTTTGTTTAGCTAATACCGAAACGATAGTTATTGATCACAGTATACCAAACGGCAAAGAAAGGCACTTGGATGCTGATTCAGCAGAACACTTGTAAGTAATCATGATCCCTTGATATATATCCTCACCTCTAGATATGAAACCACCTCCTCTTTTTTTCTCCCCCCACCCCACATTGAGCGTAATTGAGAAACAAACTGTTGTGTCCTGAGCCTGCAAAGGCAGGCTCGGGACGTTGCAATGGTTCCGGGCAGTTGCAGGCTGCCCGGGACCAGACTGAGTGGCACCGGCTTCGCGCGCATGCGCGAGGCACGGGAGCACGCCAGAATGTTACTTTTTTGCCCGGGGATTCTTTTAAAGGAGACAGAGAGGCCTGAGAGCCTCAGAGCTGTGTCGGAGAGAGAACTACTGAAATAAAAGGCTGTTGGAATTACAGAATGTGCTCTATTCATTCGCCGTTGACTCGAGGACTCAACACAAACTATTGAACTTCTGTTAGGGAGGGGGAAGATTGTGTATCGCCACTGCCTTGTATTGTGGTCCAAATAGGATCAGAGGCCCATGCATTTAATGCAGCTCAGATACATCCTAAGCCCCCTGTCCTTTTCCATTAACATGACTCGGGGAGCTCATCCAATTAAGCTCAAAGTAGTCTTTGAATACAGGTAGTCCCCGACTTACAACAGTTCACTCACAATTCAAAGTTCAACGGCGCTGAAAAAAAGTGACTTATGACTGTTTTTCACACTTACGAGTTTGCAGTGTCCCTATAGAGATATGATCAAAGTTCAGACATTTGGCAATGGATTCATATTTACGACAGTCCCGGGGTCCCGGGATCACATGATCCCTTTTTGCGGCTTTCTGAGGAGGAAAGTCAATGGGGTAAGCCAGACTCACTTAACAACCGTGTTACCGACTTAACGACCGCAGCAGTTTGCTTAAGAACTGTGGCAAGGAAAATCGCAAAATGTCTTGCTCCTCAGCATAAATCTTGGGCTTGATTGTGATTGTAAGGTGAGGACTACCTGTATCAGTGAGCCCTCCTTCCACCCTTACAAGCCTCCATTTCGCGACTTTTTCCCCCCTTTTTTCTCCAAAGATATTTCTGAGTTATGCTTTTTTCCCCCGCCTCGGTTGCTCTGCATTAAATATTGCACTAGTTTTGCTTGTTTTAAAAGCGGAGGTGAATTGGCTTTTCCTTCCCGACCCACCGCCAGGCTTCTGTGCATGGAAATTAGAGATTGTATCGCCAATGCAGAATTGGAGCTGCAGTTCCTGTAGTTATTTTCTTTTCTGCTTCTAGATCAGGGGTCTTCAACCTGGCTGGCTGAGGAATTCTGGGAGTTGAAGTCCACAAGTCTTAAAGTTGCCAAGTTTGAAGACCCCTGTTCTAGATTATGTTTATCATGCCAGGAGCTGGGTTTATAAGTTAGCAGCTAGATCTGCCAATACAATCTTTGTGGATAGCACAATGACAGTCAGAGTTGTATCACAGAGGAGTCCTGGGAAATTCTATGGTTGCAGGTGATGAATGTGTCACTGCCAGAATTTTACAAGAGTTTAAATATTTGGAGTGTAAAAAATCGAGTCTTGAACAGGGTGGCAGAATAAGAAAAAAATACTAATCACAAAGCATGTTACTAAAGGTCAACTTTATGTTAGGTATCTTATGTGGCTTGGTACTAGGCTCACGAATCTGTGTACCTGTGTGTATATATGTTGTTATTTCAACAGCTCCTGCGTCAATTTGTGCAATCATTTTACATATCCCAAACTATAATAATGCCATTTCAACTTCTGTGCAAAAGTACTTCTAAAGACAGGATTCTAAAGACTGACTATATTTCTCCGCACGGATAAACTTTCAAACTTGGGAAATGATAACTATCATTTGGATTTTAATTAAAGAGGAAGCAGATAAACTTAACAGGAGTCCTTCAGAAAGAGATGTTTTTTATTCAGTAGGGGGCAGTGTCTCCCCTTCGTGCTTTCATCATAGTGCATTGTTGCTGCAGTTATGATAGTTTGAAATGATCCACTCGTAAATAACATTCAGGTTATGAGATCAGTTCATAATAAGTATTGTGAGTCAAAAAATGTGCAAATGAATCATTATCCAGTAAACAACATACCTAAAATTCATGAACCTTGTGGAAAGCATTAAAAAGATTTGGGCAGAACACACAAATTTATATCCTACAGTATAAACCTCAGTTGTCCAGGATTGAAATAGAGGCCAGTTTTCAGTCCTATATGTTCTGACATGTTTTTATTTGGAAAATATTTAAAGTAATATTTTATAAAAATACAACAACCCATGTTAAAAAAAAATATCAAGGTTTCCTGAGAAACTGGTTGCGGAGGGGCCACTGTTGCAGGTCCAAGTCAACAAGCTATGTTGTAACCAGTTTCTGATATCAACCTGGGCATTTGCAAGACTGTTACTTGATCATTCAGAACAAGTTAACCAAGATGTTAGTGTGGCTGGTATACCATTATCAAGAAGCTCTGTATTTGGATAAATTCGTGTTTCTATTTCAGTGCTGCAAAAGTCAGTGATCAAAGAAATGTCATCCTTATTTTCAAAGATTAAAAAAAAGTTACAAATTTCATCGCATTCTGCCAAGCATAAAGGCCTTTAAAGCAGCTGTCATAAGGTTATTAGAGTGAAATGGGAACATCTGGGCTTCAGTTATATCATTCATTGCTCAAATGCTTTCTAGCTAACTTCTTTCCTTCTTCACTCAAGTTCATAATAAAATGGAGCCTCCTGTCTTACAGATAAAACCCTTGTCACAATGATCTATACATTAAAATGTATGTACTCAGAGTAGAATATTTCTTTGTGATTCATCAATTGTGTCATTTGAAGAAACTCTTGCAGATTGCAAAATTATGGCTTGTGCCCATGTGGAATGATAGCTAAATTTGATCAGTCAGGTGGATCCCCCAAATTCTGGCTGGGCTAATGACTTATATATAGTATCCACCTCTGGCTATTAGCTTGATGGTGTTACAACATAGCAAATATAGACCAACCAGTATCTTTTTTTGTGTCTCTATTGTATGTCCTGGTATGAATGACGGTTCTTTGTTTTATCTATTTTTAGGTTCGAAAATGTTAGTGAATTTACCTCCGAGTTGCAGGACACTGATGATCCAACAGCTTATGTCACCAACTTGTCATACTATCATCTGGTTCCATTTGAAACGGATATTTTGGACTAAGACTGTCAAGCAGACTTCCTGGCTGACATCAGGCAACTGCCCCATAGCTTTGCACTGATTATGCCTACTACAAGTTTAGGATGCAAGACCGAAAAGGATTCCTACAAATGTAAACCTTGAAGCTGATTCTTCACAGTGGCTCCCTGGGCCAACTTGCAAGAATGCTTTTCTCCTCTAATGGACAAAGGTTTTTTTTTTTGAATATGGCCAAAAAGAATAAAACAAGGACATCAAGTGCTAAGTTGGTTCAAAGAATAAGTGATGCAGTGTTTTTCACACACTGATAAAACTTTGATGATACCAAAAAGGAAACAAAACATCAGCGTTACCAATATTTACAGTGCTACTTGCAAAGAAACTTCATGTTCCTTCTCTATCAAGCTGTCTCTAATCCCACCCAACATTTTGAACCTTTTTTTAATTGAAAGATTCATTATGATCAGACACTAGAGGATTTTTTTTTTTTCATTTCTCATGACAGCTTGCAAGAAACATCCAATAGTTAGTTTACAGGGAGTATTCCAGAGTAAGTGAAGCCTTATGTAATGTGTGCCTACAAGAAATAAGCTCATGAATTGACTGCTTAGTTTAGCTTAATTTGAAACCAAGGATTTTAATCCTCTGAGCAACTATCATTTTCTCCTGAAATAAATAATAATAATGAAACAAAAGAGCAAATAAGCAAATTGTAGCTTAAAGAGAAAGGGAAGTGCTGATGAGTTTTAAATGGTCTATCTAAACTTTTGGTTCCCCCCACCCCCAAGAATTCTCCACGATTTTTTTTTTTTTTTTTTTGGTTCCACAATAGGAACACTTCGCAATTCTCAGTATTAATGTTTACACAGGTGGGGTACGTTTCTTCCTGTCACTTAACTTTCCATGGACTAGAACAAGTAACTTGCCAAAAGTACGATTTCCACAGTGAGTAATTTTCAGCACTCCCCCCTTAAATATAAATAACAACAAAGGAACACGGAGTGGAGTTCAGTTTGGTGGAGTGGATTCATGTTACCGAATAGTTTTAATGTTATGAATTACGTGCCACAAAAATATTGCTTTCTTTGGCACATCGCTGAGCATGCGCAGTATGCGCTTCAACCCAGAGAAAAATCTGATCTTGCATTAGGTGATTTTACAATGGCAAAACCCGAGTATTTGTGAAAGGAGAGAATATCTTCTTTCACTAATAATAGGAATGCAAGCTGTTGTTCATACCACTCACTCAGCAATAAGCTTACAGTATTACAGTTATCATTATTTAAAAGTTACCCCACTGTTCTGCTTAAGCACCAACCTTCCTCCCCAGCTTATCTTGTGTGATAAGATAAAGGTAAAGTCGTTGCTCAACTCTGTTTCAAGGCCATTGAGCCAATACTGTCCAAAGACAGTATCTGCGGTCATGTACAGTAGACATCATGTAGTGCTAAGCAGTTAAGACACTGGGCTTGTCAGCTGGAAACAAATGCTGTATGACAGGGTGGGCGCCTGTTCTTGCCCCAGCTCCTAGTAGTCTGAAAGCATGCAAATGTGAGTAGATAAATAGGTATCGCTTCAGTGGGAAACTAACAGCATCTTGTGTGATAATTGAACAAGAACTCCTTTTCCTATAATAATAGCATAGGTCAGGGTGTCAAACTCAATTTCATTGAGGGTCGCATCAGCATTGCAGTTGCCCTCAGGGGGCTGGGTGGGTATGCCCTGGGTGGGTGCGGCCTACTGGATGGGTGTGGATGGAGTGGGTGTGGCCTACTGGGTGGGCATGGACAGCTTTACATTGTTCACATCAAGGGTGCCTGTGGGGGCCTGGGCAGGAGTGTGACAGATCTGAAGGTCTCTGGCAGAAGGGGGTGGAACCGGGGCAAGCGCCAAGGCATGGTCCATTTCTTCATTCCTCACAAAGGGTGACACCTCCCCAGCATGCACCCAGGGGGCAAGGCCGACGCAGCAGGGGCTCAATGTTTCTAGACAGCCTTGTGAAGCTAAGACTGAATGCGTTTCAGCATAGATGGCCACCACAAAATTGTACATTGGCTCCCAGCCAGCCTGGGCCAGGGCCAGGGCCAAGACAGTGGGGGCCATTCCCTCACTGTTTCCAGGATGGCTTCGCGGGCCACATAAAACCACTTCGCGGGCTGCATCTAGCCCCCGGGCCTTGTGTTTGACATGTCTGGCATAGGAGATTGAGGGTCTACAGCAGGCATGTCAAATCTGCGACGTTGCGCAATGTATCACGACTTTTTCCCCATTGCCGGCAATGGGGTGGGTGCAGTTTCGTCGTGACGCATCCAGCCCATGGGCCGGCAGTTTGACATGCCTGGTCTACAGCACCAGCATTGAAATGCAGCCTTTATTGAACCTCTGTACTCATTGGTTAAGAATACAAGCAATCCCCCAAAGAGCGATCCCTGTAATACTTAAACCTCAGGTGGCTATAAGCCAGAAGGAAAAAGGTATGAAAGAGGTATGGCAGAAGTAAAATCCACAGAGCTAACGAGTGAGATATGGATGGAGAAAGAGAACTGATTCTCCCATGAATACACAACAGCCAAAACAGGGCTTAAACTGCTGAGTGTTGTTGCCTTGACATTGATTTGAAATAGAACTCACAGGTTAGCAATTCAACCACATAGTGATTCAATTATTTACAAGAGGCTCATCTGCAGGTGTTTCAGTCATTTCTTCCTTTGTCAGGATGTTCTGGAACCATTGTTCTGCATTTAGAGTTAGGGCACAGTGAATTATTGATGTAGCTATAGTTTACAAGGATTGGGAAATGACAGGGAAGGCAGTATTAAGCCAACACATGCTTGTAAAGTAGATTAATGTCCATAATATAATGGAAATAAGTGCATTCTATTAATAATTTTGTTTTCCCCCCCTCTTGGTTGGGAAGGATATGGTACATCTTCCCCATTGCTAAAACTTTTCAGAATCTTTTGTATAATAACTGTAAAGCAACATTTGCAAATGTAAATATTAATAAGTTATTGAAAACCCTAACTCTTTTACAAAATATGTTTCCATTATATTTTAATGAAATAAAAGTATTACTCATCTTCAATGTAATGTTTGCAATTGAATATCATTTTTTAATTGCACAAAAGGAGCTCGCTGGTGGGTGGGCCTGTTTTATACAGTTTCAGCTTCTGACATTATTGTCTATAAATCTCACCATCTCTAGAAGTCTGGGATTATGGGATTGTAATCCAGTACCATCTGGGAGCACAAAGTTGACATAGATATTCTAGCATTCTTCTACTGTGATTGTCATAGGAAGTGATGGCAAACCTTTTAGAGACCAAGTGCCCAAACTGCAACCCAAAACTCACTTATGCATCGTCGGGTGCTGGGTGGGTGTGGCCCATTGGGTAGGTGTGGCCCATTGGGTGGGCGTGGCCCACATGGTGGACGTGGATGCAGTGGTAGTGGCAGACTGGGTGGGACTAAAAAGTTCAATCAATCAATTCCAACTTTGCAAGAGCTTTTTTTTCCCACGAGAAGTTGAAATTGACTGATTGAAAAAAAAGATTGAACCTTTTTTTTATACACAGCGGCAGAGGCCTAAAGTGAAAAGGTTTTATAAAACCCAGCTGAAGGCCTAGGACTGGGGTGACGGTGCGAGTGCCCACAAAGAGGACTCTGAGTCTGGCACCCGTGCCATAGGTTCACCACCACTGTCATAGGATGATGTATTTTTCTCAGCTCTTTTAATTGATGCATTTCAGTAGAGTTATGAATTCTAAAATGAATTCAGGGCATATTTACATTAACCTTCCTTTCAAAAGCCAAGGTGAATAAACCTCATACATATGCAACTAAGAACTTAAAAATGATGTCATAAAATCTTTAATTGAGTAAGAACAAGTGCCTATTTCTTTCTACTCTACCTATGATGGAACTTGCACAGATGACATTGTCCAGAAGCTAAGCAGAGCTAGCCATGGCTGCTATTTTAATAGAAGACCTCCAAGGAATAATTGTGCTCTAAATTAGAATAATTTAATGGCAAATCACCTCTGTTTTACTATCAATAAAACAATATAAGGATGTCCTGAAGATGGGATTGACTGGAAGAAGACTTTACGTTTTATATGATTTGGGGAAAATATGTAAAATATTATTTTTCAGAATCCAACTTTTTTTCTTGTAAATTAATTTTGATTAAAGTTACTTGTAAAGTAAAAACAATACAAGTTTAAAGAAAAAACAAAAAGGAAAAAAGTAATAACTAGAACAGAAATGAAAGAAAAGAGAGAAAAAGAATGCTATAAAGAAAAACTAGAGAAGAAGGAAAGGAAAAGGAAAGTTATACAGAAGAATCTTCCAATCTTCTTTACAGCAATTAAAAGTGTATATACAGTGTAATTTTGGTCTTTATAGTCTATACTTTCTAATCATCCTTCTACTATGGGTATTTTAGAATTTTCCATTTTTGTGCATATAATAATTTCACTTCAGTTATCCTTAAGTCTTTTCTAGTTGTCTGTCCATTAGTCACAGCAAGAAAAGTTTTTGTATCAACTGAGTATTAACCTTTAAAATTCTTTCTATCACTGTGTGTATTTGAATCCAAAATTTTCTGCTGTGTTTAACAAGCATGATAAAATGACCCTTCACATTTTTCACATTTCCAACAAAATTTGAAATACTTCTATAGATTCTAGAACGTTTTTCTGGTGTCATTTACCAAAAGTATATCATTTTGTAAAAATTCTCTTTTAAATTATAACATAAGGTGAATTTCACTCCTTTCAGCTCCATATGAGCCGTGGGGGCACAGTGATTAGAATGCAGTATTGCAGGCTAATTCTGCCCACTGCCAGCAGTTTGATTCACACTGGCTCAAGGTTGACTCAGCCTTCCATCCTTTTGAAGTTGGCAAAATGAGGACCCAGATTATTGGGGGCAAAATGCTGACTCTGTAAACTGCTTAGAGAGGATTGTAAAGCACTGAAGCGGTATATAATGAGTACTATTGCTATATTTTCCTATTGACCCATCTGTATATTGTAACCAAAGTTCTTAACGCATTATATCATGCACCCTTTAACTTGTTCTTCTGTTTCAAATTTCAGTAAAAGCTTATGTATTTAAACGATGATATGTTCATCATTTGCACATAATTCAATTTCAAATTCCATCTTGTATTGTTCGGTTCCTAATGTTCATTTGCCTAATTAAAATCTTTTTCTTAGCTGTATATAAGAAAATCATTGGAAACCAAATCTCTCTGCACTTGATATTTAGAGTTCATCTTATATTCTCCATGTTCTTGTTTTGACATCTTCCAATCAGTCCACCATTTTTCTTGGCTGATTCTTTTCTGTAATGTGTTTCTTGTGCTAAGATCCACAAACTACTACAGTACTCAGAGCATACTACAGTGCTCTTGTGTGTGTGCTTTCCTCCACCCCACGCCCCCACTTAATTTGCTTAGTCAATGGTACAGTAAAAGTAAATTAATTCCCATGAGAAAATAGTAATGCCTGGTCCTAGTGCTGAATAATTATACCTTCAGTGAAACAGTTTGGGAATTGCAGAGTTCTTGGGAGATTAAATCCAACATTCTATCTCTTTCTATAGAGAAGTAGCTGATAAGAATCTTCTGTTACCAGTCATATATATACATTACAATTTATTGCTGCCCAACGCATTTTGTAGCTCAGTTCTTCTTGAGAAAACGATCAAACAGGCAAATGGTTCAATGAATTTCAGCAAAGGAGAATGCTAAAGTGTGCTTTTCATGAGAATAGTAGCAAATTGTTATTTTATCTCGTTGTGCACTGCTCAGAGTCGCTTTTGGCGAGATGGGCAGCTGTATACAATTGATTAATAAATAAGATAAATAAATAAAAATTGCCCCTGAAAAAGTACAGGTAGTCATCAACTTACGACCACAATTAAGTTGCCAGAATTTATGTTGCTAAATGAGAAATTTGTTAAGTGAGTTTTGTCCCATTTTATGACCTTTCTTGCTACAGTTGTTAAGTGAATCACAGCAGTTGTTAAATTAGGAACATGGTTGTTAAGTGAATCTGGCTTCTCCATTGACTTTGGTTGTCAGAAGGTCGCAAAAGGTGATCACATGACCCCAGGACACTGCAACTGTCATAAATATGAACCAATTGCCAAGCATCTGAATTCTGATCACATGACCATGGGGATGCTGCAACTGTCATAGCAGTGAAAAATGGTCATGTCACTTTTTTCAGTTTTGTTGTAACTTCGAACAGTCACTAAATGAGCTGTTGTAAGTCGAGTTCTATAATCTAGTTTTCAATGCATATGACAAATAAATTTGATATCAATACCTTATTTTTATTTCTAAAAAATGATTCTCTGTTGATCGTTCCTGGATTCAGTGCCTCTTGCTTTTCCCAGTATCCTATCTCTTCTGGTGTTAAAATTTAAATAAATGGATATTTAGCATATTTCTTTTAGCTATGTTTTAGCTATACACGCTACCTGAATATTTTGTGACTTGCTGGATTCTGAAATTAGGGACTACAACATGTTCCCAATATTTGCCATTTTTACAGGAAAAACAAAATGTCTCAATCTACTTCAGTCATTTTATTAAGAACTTATTTTATACAGAATGCCAGATTTATTTGGCTTATATTTTTTGGGACAGCAATTTGGATATAATTAAAATGCAATTGGTGGATAATGAAGATTTTTCTTCTCGTAATATTTATTAAAATGGGATTTCCTCCAATAGAATAGTTGAATAATATT